TTGTTTTTTATATGCATATAACTATCTTGTATACATAGATACACATTGCAAAAAAGACGGAATATATTTTGTACTACATGTATTATATACATACACACACATACATACATACATACATACATCTATCTCTCTCTCTCTCTCTCTCTCTCTCTCTCTCTCTCTCTCTCTCTCTCTCTCTACTCTATATATATATTATATATATATATATATATATATATATATATATATATATGTGTATATATAATGTATATATATATATATAGTAGTTATATATATATTTGTAGTCATTCTGTGGCGTCCGACCAATATATATTAGCTTCCATGGCCCAATTCAGAGAATCTTCTTTTCAGATTCAGTTAATACTAGTTTTAAAAAGTGTAATCTCATATGAATAAAAAAAAATCAATTTAATGTGACGTTATTATTTTCACATCGCTCCTCCCCCCCCCCACAACCCTCCCACATAGACTACGTATTAGCGATCTGAGTTTTACGTCGTAGTTGTGAGTTCGGCGAAATCATGAGCCTTGTATCTAAAAGTCTAACCTTCTAGTTAGAGATCACACTTTCTAGCAGCAAAACAGACTGCCTGGAGTCCTCATCCCATTGAACGGTGAACAATGTATAGATTGTCAGTGTCGCAAATGTGTTGATGGAAACAAAATCAATACAGGAATACCATGTCCCTAATTTTCTCTTTTTTCCTGATAAACCCTATTGTAGTTACGCTCAGCACCTATTAGATTAGAACTCAGAGAATACAACGGAGCACTATGAATGATCATGATAATGATACAATAAAGAAATTACATGTTAATTTCTAATCATAATATTGCAAATAATTTGACTGTCACCTCTAATCACGCGATCTATCCCATCAAAAGTACATTTCTATCTCTTACCTTCTTTGCTTGTGACTATCTGTGACTGTCTGCCTTTGTGTCTCTATCCCTCTGATGGGTAGAAAAGGGGAATTTAATATATCTCTGAAAGAACATCAGTGTCATAAATTTAAACATAATTGAAAAGAGGGTCATTTATGTGTATGGATTTCTTATACGACGGATAAACTTCTTGTAATAACATTCGTTACATAATAACGTTTTAAAACTCGAGAATTAATTGTAAGCGCTCATTTGATGAAATTGCCATATGGAATTGCACTACATCTTTATATATAATTATGCGGCATATTGCGGAACCGAAATGCATAAAACCTATATTCATAATTTTAGAAAACGAACTTATACATAATAAACAATTTTATATGTATGTTATAACATTCAGCTCTATAGGCTTTTGGCTCTAAATTTATCGCTGTGTGACGACAAATCAGAGAGAATTATTTAAAAGTAAAAACAATGCTGTTGTACACAGACTGACAGATCAGGGGGTGCGGGGGTCTTTAAATGGAAGTATTAATGCTTTAGTATACTAACCAGACATTTTTGTCCCCAGACAACTATTTGTGTGTGTGTGACGTTATATTGTACAAAACTTTAAGGATAAGTGTTATCATAAACCTTTTGTTGTGCAATTTCTAAATCATTGCCTGGGGCATTGGAGTAGATAATTTAGTACCTAAAGTAGATGTGGAATATGAATATGGATTTATAACTACTTGTATAAACTTTGATAAAAGAGTGTACACACTCACCACCATACATATCCTGTAATTCACTCATTTACAATCATCTCATCATTATCAACTTTTACTGTTGATATATTGATTTATGATTTATGAAAACGCTTAGCTAAGAGAGAGAAAAAAAGTTTGCTGCGTACAGAAAAAGTTATAGACCTCGTAAATATATTACTTCTGTCCAGCAGATACCAGTACCTGGTACCGCCAGCTAGCAGCCGGCATAAAAACAAGCGCACGTGGACCAGGACTTTGGTATATAAAGGACAACGGAGGATATAGCATCACTCATTCATTGAGAAGCAACAGTCATGAACACCAAGGTAGGTGCACATATCTTTTATGTAAAACTGATGTTGATGACCTGATCTTATGGAAGCAACAGCGATATCGCCTTGGCTGTAAATGTTCATATATCCTACTCACTGTAGGTCTTCATCCTGCTTGGTCTGGCAGCAGTCGTTGCTGCAGACAGCCGTGAGATTTTCGCCTATGGACCTCCTCAAGTTAGTGTGTTCTGATTTTTGTAATAAATTTCGATAGAAATACTGACAGAAATAATTCAAAGTGGACAGGGCAGAGAATTGAAGATATGTATATTTTCATAAAAGAGAATATTATACAAACAAAAACATGATACAATTCTACACGAATAATGTTACTCTTTTAAGGATTCTTCCGAAGAGTCATTCGAGTCGTACGAGTCAGGAGAAGCCAAGTACGACTTCAATTATGCCGTTCAGCACGAAGACTCCGGCAACGACTTCGGACACCAGGAAGCCCGTGACGGCGAACACACTCAGGGATCCTACTACGTGAGGCTTCCCGACACCCGTCTGCAGAACGTCAAGTACTTCGTGGACGGCGACGACGGCTACGTGGCCGAGGTCAACTACGAGGGCGAGGCTCGTTTCCCCGACTCGTATGAGTCTGCCTCCTTCGAATCTGCTTCCTTCGAGTCCCGGGAGTACAGGCCACCAAGTCCCGTATATACCTTTGACTCCAACGAGTCCAAATAAATTTGTAATTTGTTGTCAGTTGAAACAAGATAGCAGACCCAAGATTTTCATATAGGATAATTATTGTATATTTATTACAAAATATAATGGAAGCATGTGTAAATACCCGTTTTCTTTACAAAGCCTAGTTTAGTGTCAAAAATGAGATGCAAAGTCCTTTGTTTGCGTGTATATTGTTTTTACACGATCATACTCCTAATAAGAGTAACGCAAAGTGCACAACCCTTCTTCCCAATCTCTTCATGATTACTTTAAGCAAAGAGTTACATTACTGAGACTGAATGAGGAAATCAAATGGCGACGTTGACAGTCGTTACGACAGTGATATAAACGCCTACTGATTCACACTTTCAAGATATTCATTAATGTTCTATGTATAATTCCTTCCTTTAGAGATAACTATAATCTAGAGTGGCCTATATGTCATTTCATTAAGAAACGTCACAGGGGCAATGACGTTAACTGAGAAATTTATAATGTAATCAGATTGATGTTACGAGGTTACCTCGATAGACCAAGCCTTCCGCCTTAAATGTGCAAGTGCGCAATCTCTTTAAAAAGTGAAATTTAAAAGGCCTTTTTTTATGTTCTTGGGATTTCATCTTCTTAGTCATTTTTTCCCATGGTTCACAGACACATGCTTGTGATAACTTCACAGAAATTGAAGCACACCTATAGCAATACACTTCCTTGCAACGTTGCATGCTGAGTAGGGTACTTATTACTCTGAAATATTTACAATTTTCAGACGATTGTCCGTGTAAGGAAGGTGATTTAGTAAGTCTTTGGATAGAAATTGAATGGAATAAGATAATAGAGATGTTCCACAAAGCTGTACCCTAAGTTTACTATATATGAACAGGCATATTTTGCCCAAAGCGCATAATCTATGATTTATAGAATTCCTCTCTCCCTCTCCCTTTCTGTCTCTACTTTTCTTTCTTTTCCTTTCCATCTCCTTTTCTTTCTCTCTCTTTCTCACATGTTTTTTTTTCTTCCCTTCTCTCTCTTTAACTTTTCACAAAATCTAAACTGCCTGCTAAGTATACAAATGTCTAGTAAAATATATCACCCAGATTGCACAATGTATGATCTGCTGACAAATTTGATTTTAGTTATAAGAAAATGTCTCAATTGCGAATTCTTTGTAGATATATTCACTAAAACTATCGAACAACATGGGATGCGAGTAGGCAAGTATTTACCCTCTACCTGTTCTTTTTCTAGTTAGATCTTTAGATAGAAATGGAAGGCTATAAGGTAACGGAGGAATCTTCAGCCTTTTTACAAGCTAAAGTGTGATTACTATGTATATCACAACAAGTATGTCTCATTCAAACCGCATAATCTATGATTTATGGACCATCTTTCTCTCTCTCTCTCTTTTTTTTTTTTTTTTTATATAGCTTTTCACAAAATCTAAACTGTCTAGTAATATTACATATTTCTAAAAGGATGTGCCGCCCAGACTGTACAATTTAGGATCTGTTGACATATGTGATAACAGCTTCAAGAATATTTCTACATAGACCAACTTCTGTTGATTTTAAACTTACTACCTGTTGCTTACGGTTTAAACTCGAATGTAGTTATATTTAAATGTCAAAGGAATTTTTAACCCCATACTATACCTATGGGCGACATTTGAGGGGGTAGGCATCGGGAGTGCTTGAGTCCACTGACGTCTGTATGGAGTAGGTAAAAAAAGAGGTAGAGAGAGAGAGAGAGAGAGAGAGAGAGAGAGAGAGAGAGAGAGAGAGAGAGAGAGAGAGAGAGAGAGAGAGAGAGAGAAAGAAAGAGAAATACGGGATTATGATTTATAAAATAAAGGTGTTTTAAAATTTTATACGAGTGAAGTAAGCCTTTAAGTGATAGTAGCATAGTAGGGGCACAATTGGAAGATTATGTGTTGAAGTACTGTGTTCGCGTAGATTGGCTACAAACTGTTGCATCCTTTTTGTCATACTACAGGTGATTACGACCTAATATCCATTCCATGTAGCTTTAGAAAGAATTTGAAATAAATTAGACTCTCAATTAGAATCTGGTACCTCAATAATATATTTGCCCCTCGCATATGAAATTTAAAGTAGCGCCATTGAGTAACCCTGTGAACTTCCCTTTATAATTGCAGAGAAAGTATGTAAAGCATTTTTTCTTTGTGCTTATATAACATACCATAAACGCATATTTACTTACTTATTAGGAATATAGACCTTGTATACATGCATAAAATCATTCATAGACTGTAAGGTAAGTGCCTGTATTTCTACTCGTACGTAATGTTGTATATAAACATTTAACACCAGATACGTAATTATATGCATGGACATACATA